TTATAGAGACGGGAAACAATTTAATAATATTCAAGATTTACATTCTGCGATATTAGTAGCCTGGTCAAGTATTACACCCGAAAATTTGTTTAAATATGTTAATGTAATGCAACAGCATATGATCGACGTTGTTAAAGAAAGTGGTGATAAAATCAATATATAAGTTTTCTTTTTTTTAAATTACTTATTTTTTAAAAAAAACCTTAAAACCATCATCACCGTGAAAAAAGTTAAAGAAATTTAAATTTACTTTTCTTAATCAAAAAACAATAAATAACAGATATCATTATTTTAAGCATGTGTTTTTATTTCAAAATTTGAGTTAAATGAGACGTCCCGTTTAACTGTAAAGCTAATTTTTTTTAAGCGTTTTATAGTAGCCTAAGTTAGAAAAATAAAATGAATGTAATATTTACAATTCTATAAAACGTGTTTTTGGGGGATGTCTTAAGATTTGACACACCTCTTAAGACAAAAAAAATTCAAAAACCAGATTAGACACATATAAAATTAGATCTAGTAAAAGGTATTTTTTATCTCATTTAAATTATAACGTTTAAACACGAATAATGATTTTAAAATTGTATCTTGTTTGATTTTGCGAGGAATTTTTTTGGAGTGTCTTAAGATTTTGATGCGTACTGTATAATCAAATTATTTATTCACATACAAAAACGTTTTAATCATTGCTTCTATAATTTATTTACAAACAAAAAACATCTAAAAATTCATCTTTGCTTTCGTGTTTTATTCCCCTCAACCTTTAAATTTCTAACTTTATTGTTTAAGCTTTAAACATTTTGCGTATGGATGCTTGTTACCAGACTGACAAAGTTATATTTATAAGCAAGTTTTTGATGAGATTATTCGGGCATTTTAGAAGGTTTTCGTAAGCTTTCAATTCATCGGTGACGACGATGTTGTTCCATCGCGTAATACTTTTTTAATTATTTGAATAAGCGTGCTTGTACTGTGATTAGGAACGACATTTGCGAATCCTTTTGATGGAGTTGCACCGGTGTCGGTCATTGTAATGGCCCAGTCTGGATAGCATGGCACTCTTCCCCGGTGTGCTCGTACGTTATGAGATATTTTGGTTTCGTCTACTTGAACTTCGACATTCAGTCCGCCTACCCCGAATGGATCATCAATATTATATTTCTTAATTTTTAATTTTATGGCCTAATACGATCAATAATGTTTATATAAATACTTAAATTTTGTACGAAGCTTTCATAGGATGTTTTTTTTAAAAGATAATATACAACTTTAAATGCTTTTTGCACGAGAGTTTTAAGTGCATCAAAAAAATCCCGAAGGTATGCGTTTTTTAGTTTGATAATGACAAGATTAATTGAGACCATACCTATTAAATTTAAAATTAGAAAAATTAGCTTTTTTAAGATCATTGGGACGATGTAATATTTACAATTAAATGTTGTCCGTATAAGTCATTTTTGTTGTAAAAATTGGAAAATTTTATCGTTGTTTGCAGGAAAAAGAAAGTTCATGAGCAACTCTCCTTGCATTGGAGGCATAAAAAAATGGAATATTCTCCATATGTACCCCGCCGAGGCGCATATAAGGGATGGTCCGAAACCTTTGCCCTTTTCGATTTTTATACCTCTCCTTCTTTTGATTTTAAAATTTACTTTATTATTAAATGGTTTAACTGCCTGTGTATTAACACCATTAAGTTTTACAAATTCTCTTTTGTGGCGTACTGTTTTATGAATATAATAACCCAACATTGATAATTTCTTATAAGACTTATGTTCATCTGTCTAAACAATGGTTCTTTTCCACATTTCCTTCTATTAAGGAATTAGAGTGTTAGCTATTTTATCCGGAATTACACAAGCGTATGCACGAGTTATTTTATCTTCAATCACCACTATACACAATACATCTGTCTTGTTTCTAGGCCCCACGCCTCTATAGACTTTTGTCTTATGATTCAATGCTGTTTAGTCTATTCCAACTAAAGACCCCGGGTCCCCCAATTTCTCCCATCGAAGATCATATTTTTCAACAACAGCTAAAACCTTTTTTATTATATTATTGAATAATATGAAAATATTTTCATACCTGTACCAATAATAGTCTATGGTGTTTTAATGACAACCTTATTAAAACTTTAAGAAAATCTATAATACTAAGTCTAAACCCGGAAAAAAGCCACCGGGTCTGATAGTAAATCGATTCTATACTTTTAACATTGACTATTACAAACTCTTCACATTTTATTGTCCTGTGTTTTTTTGTATTCTTTTTCAATTACATATATATTGCAGTATTTACACACTTGTCTTTTTGTTAATAATTCAATCTTTCTCAAAGTTGTTATCAAAGTATAATCAATCATTCTGTCCAGTTTAACTTCAATTCCATCAAGATTCATTTTTTTTTGGGGGGGGCGGAGGAGAATAAATTTTTTTTAATCATTTTGGCAAAAAACAGCAAATATTAATTTGACCAAAAGGTAATCAGTTGCATTATTTCGCTCAGTGGGCGAATAAAGCAACTAATTCAAAATACCTGGTCTAATATCTGCTCCGAAATGAAAAATAAATATATAAGGTTATGCAGTTTAAGTGTGTACAAATATCATCAAAAGAACAAAATAGAAAAAGATTTATTTATTAATATACAGCAATTAGAGATATTAAGCTAAATAAAATATTGTTTTTAAATTCATTCTTGAACATCACCTCTGTGAGTAATCCTGGGAGCCAGGCTTTACTTAAGCCTTTCAAAGCTTTTGTTACACGTTTCATTTTACTCCAAACAGAGTAAATACTTTGGGTATGCACTCCGGAATGAAGATCATCAAAATATAACTTATTATTTACCGTATTCAAGACCCAAATCTCTTTCTGTGTTTAAATATGCACTCCAATACTTTGAGTGAATTATAATTCCCGACTTACAAACCCTCCTAATTATCGGCAATGGTGTCTCACCTCATTTTTTGAGGACAATCTTCATATAACACCTAGAAGGAGAATAAGAAATATCTGCTATTCCAAATACCAATACATTGCTTGAAAAAGCACAGCTTGCTTAACTTTATGCACAAATTGGCTATCAACCATCTGGAATACTATTCCGGGTCTTCCGGCTTGAATTGCCCTGTATCATAGTATCTTTTTACTGTATCTCTGGGTTTAACAATAATCCTTGATAAGACTTTTTTTTAATAACCATTGTCAGAAACAATAGAAGAAATTTTTTTTCCTTCTGACCACAATATTATAACAGAAAAAATATCAGAAAGCGAAGCTCTAACTAAAACCATCAGAAAAAGATTTTGTCTTTATACTTTTTGTAGATCTAAATCCAAAAAAATTGAATTATATCAAACACAACAAATACCTTTCTTGCCCCTTTAACCATGAACACCTTGCAAATTTCGCAATCAAGGGCAGAAACAAGCAGGTTTTTTTGTCGTTAAATCCGAAAAACTTGCTAAGTGCACAATTGGCGAATTCTCATCAATTGTTCAAATCTTGCTGGTTAACTTCTCATTTGTTGGTGGGTTAAAAAATAAAAAGAAATAAATCGGTCTAATATCTGCCATAAAAGGACGGATTTTAGACAAGTTCCGATTTTTTTTCTTATACGCGTCGTTTATCGTACAATATCATCCCCAACAGCTGTAATTCATCCTTTTCTCACAAGTGGGTGTGTATTGCATACGGATGGCTATGTATCATACCCTTCTGTTGCTAGAAATTTAGACCTTTAGCATCATGTTATAGATCATTCTGTTGGGCTTAGAGCCGCTGATGAAATTCATACTAATAATATAATGGGTTTCAGAGGTTACATGAAAAGCCCGATGAGGAAAGAAAACGGCGTTCGAAGAGATCATATTGACAACTGGCTGATTCAATATACATTTAAAAGAAGATATGTAATTAATAAGCCGAGCGAAGAATTTTACCGGGTGTTTGTGTTGTTTTTAAAAATATTCTTTAAATTAAATGAATAACATTTATTTTATTTTTTTATCTTTCTTTAATTTTTTAAAATGTAGGCAAATTCGCTTAGAAAACCCTTATCTGACATCAAAATTAGCAAAAGAAGTTCACAGAACAGTAAACGATTTGATTATCAAAAAGCACGAAAAATCGGAGCAAATTTTGTTAAATTACGGCTCAAAAACTGAGAACAGGGGGTTCTGTTATCAAAGAACACTTATAAGTTCAAATAGAAATTTAATCTCATATCACCATCAAAAAACAGAAGCAGTTGAAAAAACAATCCAGAAATAAAGAATCATTCCAAGAAGGTTGCCTGATTACAGCGAAAAGAGATGGCCCACTACTACGAAAAGCAATATTGGCACCAAATTCATTTTACAATCTAGCAATGGGGACTTGCCCATGTATAATAAGATTTTGAGACAGATAGAACCCGGGATGATATAAAAATAGGAATCTCCATGCTTTAAGTGGAGTAACAAGGGTTATAAGATAGAGAAATAATAACTTTGAAAAGTATAAGAAGTTACCCGTAAAGGGAATGGTAGAAATAAAAAAAAGGATCAAATAGGAGATATAGTTTTAATATACAGAAAAGGCCCAAGCGGAGATGAAATGTCGACGAATTGAAAATTGGGATTTATAATGACAGACACAATTAGGCAAGGCACATGCTTGATCAAAAGAACTGTAGGAAACGGCCCATATCGGGTAAAAAACAAAGTAAACAAATACCTCACAGCTGTATGTGGGGATACCATGGTCATCAAAATCGACCAATAATATGGCCACATTTGTAACGATATGATTGGCCGATTAAACTATAAATAAGGTAGCCCCAGAAGAAGGGAGGAAAATAATAGAGAAGTTAATCATGACACTCAATATCCTTTTTTCCTCCAGTGGAGGAAAAGGGGATATTGATAACCTAGTTGGCAAAGTGGTATGATAATCTAAAATTTCCTAAATCTTATTATGTCTTGGTGGGTTGAATGATGACATATTTTTCAACCTTGAACATATAATAAAATATGTTTCGTCTTTTAATCACAGTTCTTAAAATAGGTACCTAACAAAATCAATTTAGAATTTAGTCTCAGTTGTTTGTATAAGGTTAGCTTCCATAATTTCTGGAAGTAAAAACAAATTAAAAAAATTGAACATGTAAGCAATCTGGTTTTTAACACCAGATGATAACTTACATGATTCAAAATTTCAAGCATCGCGCGGTTTATCGTAAGTAAAATTTTGTAGATGGCTGTTGTATCGTCAATACCACGAAAATCTGTAAAAATATATTTACTTAAATTTTGAATAGGCCGCTCCAATATTTTGTTTTTTATTTATTATTGCACTCCAATGTCTTTAGATGCAATTCAGTATGAACAAAGGAAATAAGAATGGTTTTCTAAGCATAGAATTAAGCTTGAAATTAGAGAACAAAGACATAATTTTTTACCAGAATTTATGTGTCTGGAAAAAAATAGTACTGTCTAAATTTCGGTAAAATTAATAAGCTATTAAACGTTTTTTTTCTACATACATCTCCATTGCCTATTTTATCGTATTTGTTTGTTTTTATTTCGCGG